GGCCACCTGAGTCAAGGGGGGCACAGACTGAGGTTGGCCAAGGCCCCGGGTATTCGTGGGGCTTCCTAGAGCGAGGGCCTTTGGGCCGGGAGCAGAGGCAGGGCTCTCGCTGCCACATCCACAAGGCTCAAGAGCCTGGGGACCTCCCTGCAGGCACAGCCCAGGGTCCAGCGTTCTTGCTTGCAGAGTGTTCATGGCACGCCATCCCCACTCTGCGGGTGGCTGTCCTCGGCTTACGCCGTGTGCTGCTGCCCTTGTGAGCCGTGCTTTGATCTGAGGGGTGTCCCCAGGGGCTGTGTCTGGTGCAAAGTCACACAGCATGTCCTGGCTGGTGGCCTCTAGGGCGGAACTGAGCTGCAAGGGGAGAGCGGCCGCGGGAGGGCCGTGTCCCGCTACTGCAGGACTATTGATTGGCCTTGCCGGGGTGGGGAGTACGCCGGCCAGCCGCGGTCTAGGGCTCCGGTTACCACTGCCTGCCAGCCCGCACTTGGCGCCCACTGCCTCGGCCACATGCCAAGGCCAGGCCAAGGACAGCAGAGGACAGCAGGGCTCAGAGAAGGCCCTTGGAGAAGCTGGTCTGGATACCAGTGGGGGAGGGCCTGCGTCACCCCCCCAGGTCCGACGGTCGGATGGGCATGTGACTCTGAACTCGCTGGGCTCCGGCTGCTGTGGCCGCCTAGGTCCGGGGGCCGAGGGGGGCAGGCACAGGCCGGACCGGTGACTGGGGGAGATTTTTTTGCGGGGCCCCTGCCTGGGTCCTAACAGTGCCGTGTCCTGGCCCGCAGAGCCCTGCCCCTCCACCCTGCTGCAGCAGCACATGGCGGACCTGCTGCGCCAGGGGCCCGACGTGGCACCCAGCTTCCTCAACAGTGTTCTCAACCAGCTCAACTGGGCCTTCTCCGAGTTCATTGGCATGATCCAGGAGGTAGGCTGGGCCAGGCCTGGGGCCAGGGCCAGGCGCAGTCCCACGGACCACGGCCCCACTGACTGGCCAGCCCATGTCAGATCCAGCAGGCCGCCGAGCGCCTGGAGCGGAACTTCGTGGACAGCCGGCAGCTCAAGGTGTGCGCCACCTGCTTCGACCTCTCGGTCAGCCTGCTGCGCGTCCTGGAGATGACCATCACGCTGGTGCCCGAGATCTTCCTCGACTGGGCCCGGCCTACCTCAGAGATGCTTCTGCGGCGGCTGGCTCAGGTGCGGCCATCTGGGCCAGCGGGGGCCCTGGGGATGTCCCGTGGGGAGCCTGCCCACCCGTCAATGGCTCTGCTCTAACAGCTGCTGAAACAAGTGCTCAACC